CCCATCCATTCCTGGAGGAGTCAGATCAGGCCAAGATAACACATGCCTTGCTTACATCCTGCTTGGATTATGATAATGCGCTCCATGTGGGGTTGTCTTTGAAAAGTGCTCAGAAACTTTGACTGGTCAAAAGAACTACAGCCAGTTTAGTACCCACGGGGCATTCATTTATGTTGTTGCAACATCTCCACTGGCTGCCAGTCCATTTCTGGACACAATTCAATTCAAAGTCCTAGGGATGACCTATGAAGCCCTGCATGAGTAGGATTCCAGCTATTTAGAGAACCACATCTCCTTTTTTGAACTGGGGATGGCCACGACTGACAGGGAGCTCTGGCATAGGCTGGTCCTCATGAGGTCACGAAGAGTTGGAAGCAACTGAACGAATAAACAACAATAACATCTGTATTGTCAAAGGCTTTCATGGCTGGAATCACTGAGTTGTTGTAGGTTTTGGCCATATAGCCATGTTCTAGAAGCATTCTCTCCTGACGTTTTGCCTGCATCTATGGCAGGCATCCTCAGGGGTTGAGGTCACAACCTCTGACAATGCCTGCCATGGATACAAGCAAAACGTCAGGAGAGAATGCTTCTAGAACATGGCCATATAGTCCAAAACACCTACCTCAACCCAACAACATCTCCTTTTTTGTGGTCTATTAAAGCTCTTAAGAGCTTGTGGAGATGCTCTCCTCTCTTTCCCACCACTTTTTCAGCCTCTTTTGGTGGGAAGAAGGCAGAGGACCTTCTTGGTATCTGGTCCGAAACTGAAACTCCTTCTCTAGGGAGGTCATTTTTAGTCTCCTGTTAGGAAGTTAAAACATGCTTTTACAATCAGACTTTTAGAATTTGCCTTTCAGCGTTTTGTAGTGCTGTTTTATGGCTTGAATATTGGCAAAAAAAATTAATATTTACCATATTTTAGGAGAGCATATACTTCAGTTGTGTCCCCAGTGGCACAGTGGGTTAAACCCTTGTGCTGGCAGGACTAAAGACAGAAAGGTCGCTGGTTCGAATCTGGGAGAGTGCGGATGAGCTCCCTCTGTCAGCTCGGGCTCCCAATGCGGGGACATGAGAGAAGTCTCCCACAAGGATGGTAGAAACATCAAAACATCATCCAGGCATCCCTTGGGCAACGTCCTTGCAAATTGCCAATTCTCTCACATCAGAAGCAACTTGAGGTTTCTCAAGTCGCTCCTGACACGAAAAAAAAAATCTCTATTGATGCTTTTTAATTTGTACTGTTAGCTGCTTTGAGTTCCATTACTGAGAAAGGCAGGATTAAATAAATAAAGCAACAACATCTAGTAGGCCAAAGGGTCCCTGCCCCCTGCTGTTGAACTATATTTTGTCATTAGAAAGTGTGGGGTGTTGAATGAACCGCAAAGAATAAGAAAGAGCAGTGCTACCCTCTGCTGGCAATCTATGTCACTACACTGTCCCTAGCCTTCAGATAGAACAGAACATATGATAGGATTTGAAGGAATCGCTTCACTTCCATCTAGTGCAGTGGTTCCCAACCTTTTTTTAGACCAGGAACCACTTTGACCAGGGACCATTCTCCAACATTAGTACCAAAAGGGTTACAAATCAGTTTTGGTTAACTTTAAATTCGGTTTGGTTATTTGAGGCGCCGATTCAGAAAATTGCATTGTAGACCACTTCAATTCTAGTTTCTGATACAGAACATGCGCCAACCAGTAGTCGCCATCTGCTCGCCCACAGAAAACCATATTTAATAAGCCTCGGCACTAAAAGAGGGTTTTGCAAGACCAGTAGTTCTCGTTGCAACGGTGTAGTAACGGTGATGCCACAGACCATATTTTAGTACTTGCAGACCACTGGTGGTCCACGGACAACAGGTTGGGAACCACTAATCTAATGTTTTATTTTGCACCATAGCCAACCAGATAAGATAAAAGCTTTTCCCTGACATTAAGTACAGTTGTGTCAGACTCTGGGGGGAGGTGCTCTCTCTATTTCTAAGCCGAAGAGCCGGCATTGTCCATAGACACCTCCAAGGTCGTGGCCAGGATGACTGCATGGAGTGCCATTAACTTCCTGCCGGAGTGGTACCTAATGCTCTACTCGCATTTGCATGTTTTCAAACTGCTAGGTTGGCAGAAGCAGTGGTAACAGCGGAAGCTCACCCTGCTCCCCAGATTGGAAGCACCGACCTTTCGGTCAGCAAGTTCAGTAGCTCAGCAGTTTAACGCCCTGCGCCACCAGGGGCTCCATAGCCAACCAGATACCTATGGGAGACTCATAAGGTAGGTGGGATGTGATAACCTACTGAAAAAAGCAAGGTTCTCTTCCCTTCCTTTCCTCTTCTCCCTGTTAACTGAGTGAAAAAAACTCTTCTGTATTTAGTTTTTAGAAACTGAAATAAGTTGAAGCTAAAGGGGGAAAGTTGTAGGAAGCCAGATAAACTGGGACATTTTAAAATAAGATGAGGAAGTAGGATGGCAGGGGATTAATCAGAACTTTTCCTGACAAACTATAATGATCAGAAATCTATGGATGACAATCAATAGGAACCTCTGAGACATTTACCTTGATATCCTATGTAAGAAATTACTTAATAATGAATCTGAGAGCCTCAGCTGCTTCATTGGCACATTAATAGTGAAAGGACCAAGGCAGAGACATTCCCCAGCTCATCCCTTGTTTGGGTATCAGCCAGCACGTCAACGACTTAAATCAAGAAATAGTTTTCTTAGATCTACAGAGACACTCGCTGGAACACCTCAGCAAGCGAGAGTCCAAAAGTGGCAGGCTCAAACCCAGAACCTCAACCAATGGTAGACACCAAATGAGAGACTCTCCCTTGGGCAGAAAACTGGGCAACTTGGAAGGCGCTGAACAGACTACGCTCTGGCACCACGAGATGCAGAGCCAATCTTTAGAAATGGGGCTACAAAGTGGAATCCATGACATTCGAGTGTGGAGAAGAGCAAACCACAGACCACCTGCTGCAATGCAACCTGAGCCCTGCTACATGCACAATGGAGGACCTCCTTGCAGCAACACCAGAGACACTGGTCAAAGGACATTTAATCAACTACCAAGCTTGCAAACTTTGTTTTGTCTGTTTGTTTTGTTCTGTTAGAAATGTAATACAATGGTCTGGTTGCCCTTGACATGATAAATAAATAGGCACATTAAAAGAGAAACCATACGACACATGGGCCTCCCAGAGATAGTCAGTTGTGTGCCCTCCAGTTGTTTCTAAATTACAGCAACCATATGATAGGACTTCCTAGAGAAGATATCTTCAGAGGGAATTTGCCTTTACCTGAGAGTATAACTTGCCCAAAATAACCCTGTGGGTTTTTATGGCCAAGCAGGGCCTCCAGTCGTGGTCCAATACCCAAACTGCTGCATCCAATGATAGAACTGATACATTACTGTAACATGCCTTCTCTTTGGAAACCCAGCAGGCTTCTTCACATACTCCTTCAAATATGGAGGGGTGAAGCTGCACTGGGGTTCTTGCAACAAAAGCACGAGTGTTGTAGCACCTTCAAGATGAACTCATTTGACAAAAGCTTTTGGGGATTATTTTTGGGTTTGATCCCTTGATTTCTCAAGTCTGTGTCATCAATTTTCCAGACCTCAGTAAGTAGCTAGAGATAGGATTAGGCTGTGGTCCCCCCCCCCCCCCCAAAAACAAAACATTCCTATGCTTGTTTCCCAAAAAGGGCTTTGTTTTGACTCTTTCTCCTTGCCACTGTCTCCTCCCCTTTGATGATGTAGGAATGGAATTCTGTGGGGAAACTTCCTTTTTAAAGGTATTCTTATTGCCCTGGGCTGGCCATATGGCCATTCACCATTTTCCATTCTCTTCTGCTTTTCTTTCTACCTATGAGGATGCGCATTTTGCCTCTCTCTAGGCAAAATGTAGCTGCATGGATTTTTGCCCTTTTACTTCTTTAGATGAGATTTAGTAATCTAGACCTTTTCTATCAAGAATATATTTCTTTTATTTCAATAAATATTTTTGAACCTAATGTTCTGACTCTGCAATCCTGTGCCATCCTAAGATATAGAAGCTTATCCAAGCTCATCTGATGGTTATGAAGTTTACTTCTGTACTCTGCACTAGATATGATGGAATCACCCCAACAGAGCCTAACAGCCAGGGGCGGCTCAACCCATTACGCAAAGTAAGCATTTGCAGTATAGTTGATTTTGCTCAGGGGCGCTCTTGGGGGAAAATAGATCTTGACATATGTGAGTTGTAGTTACTGGGATGTATAGTTCACCTAAAATCAAGGAGCATTCTGAACTCCACCAATGATGGAATTGACCAAATATAGCACACAGAACTCCCATGACGAACAGAAAATATATATCAATGATTGGTTGGGGGGGGGGGGGCAAAATACTGTTTGCTTACCATTCAAAATTACCTAGGGCCGCCTCTGCAACAGCTCAGATTCCCTAACAATTATAATTTACTTCACCTGATGAAATTGTCAGCAGCCCCCCAAAACAGATATATGCAAAGTAAAACTTTGGAATTCCAGACAGGAATCAATCAAACAAATTATTCCCCCCGGCAGCAATAAGCCAGGCTTTGAAGCCGCAAGGCCATTAAATGCTAATCAAGATGGCCAGCTGAAACATTCACATTTGCCTCAAGCAGACAAGAGTTTTTTCTTCCACACTGGACATTCAACAGGTTTATAAACCCCACTTGCATAGTTTCCAACAGACCCCTCAACCTCTGAGGATGCCTGCCACAGATGTGGGTGAAATGTCAGGAGAGAATGCTTCTGGAACACGGCCACACAGTCTGGAAAACCCACAGCAACCCAGTTATTCCGGCCATGAAAGCGTTCAACAACACATTAAAATGCATTCGTCTTGAAGGAGCTATAAGGTTCTATTATGATGCTTGAATGCGATTTTAAGTGAATCCACTTCTTAAGGTTTTACTGCTCCCTGCATTGAAATTACGTATCCCGTTTGCTGCACCTTAAATTGCTGAATGGTCATCAGATTATCATTTTATTTTTTTTTTTAAAATCCTGTACATCAATCCATATTTCTTTCAGAAAAGCAGAATATTCAAAATATTTATTTCATGTATTTATATATTGCTTTTCGGGTAAACCTTCAGATGTTTACATAATAAAAAATATTTAAAATAAGCATCAAAAGTAGTTATATAATAAAGTGGTAAAGAAAACTATGTAGGGGAGGAAAGTCTTTGAAAAGCCACATCATCCTTCCCCGAGAGCAAAAGATTCTTGAATTGCCCTGTGATGGCAGTCTGGGGAAGGTCAGGTGGTTATTCCCAATTATGTACTAAATTTATATCTTGGTCTTTTGGGCAAATAAGAAGGCTGTGCATGCAGGGAAGAACAGACAGACTTGGTACAGTCCATAACTGCACGCACACATTACTATACAATAAATTGTAGATACACTAAATATTAGGCCTGTCAAATGAACAGTCTCATAGCTGCGTGTATCACATCAGCAGGAGGATGCATAATAAAACCCTTCTTGGCTAGATCACACTCTTGGTATGTTGTATGATCCCGGTGAGGCTTAGAAAGGATGTAAGCTGCCCCAGACTGCATGAGAACAGTTTGCTATTACTATCCTAAGCTGCCTTGACATTTCTATTGTACAGAAATACTTTCATGTGGGCATACATAGTGGGAGAGCAAATTCACACTTTCTGTTAATCACTTCCTTGCCAAATGGGTTTTTTCCCCCATCATGACTCTCATCTCTTAAAAATCCTATCATAGCTATGCCTTTATCCACATCAAGAAGCCAATCTATTGGGAGGTAATCTGGAACAGTTAGAGCCACCCTTGCTGTGGTCAACATCAGAATTTTAAATGTTTTGTTTTCAACAGGATTGAGAATGAGAGGTCAACATGTTCCTTTCAAATGGCTTCAGGACTTACTAAGATGGATCTGATCAGAATGTGCTCCAACGCACTCAAGATATGTCCAGAAAAGACCACAAGCAGGACATTTGGTGCTGCATTTTCCCCACCTACTAAAGCAGGCATGGGCAAACCTTGGCCCTCCGGGTGTTTTGGATTTCAACTCCCACAATTCCTAACAGCTGTCAGGAGTTGTGGGAGTTGAAGTCCAAAACATCTTGAAGGCCAAAGTTTGTTTGGGGCTGTAGTAAAGGGCAAGGGAGAAGCAAAACTACTAAAGCAGGCATGGGCAAACTTTGACCCTCCAGGTGTTTTGGACTTCAACTCCCACAATTCCTAACATCCTACCAGCTGTTACGAATTGTGGGAGTTGAAGTCCAAACACCTGGAAGGCCAAAGTTTGTCCATGCCTATACTAAAGGGCAGGGGAGAAGCAAAACTGGTAGTTTGACTGGCAGTTGAGAACAGCAGTCAAATCCTAAGGTCGGGATTTACTTTACACCCAAAACACTAAGTCCTTTTCAATCCCTTAGTACACAAGAAAGACAGAAAGGGAAAGGTGGTAGGTTCCTGTCTGAAGATGCATCAACTTTAGCTCCTGCGTGACATGACCATGTCAGCAACGCCATCAGCCACAAGGGGAAATGTGACCCTGTGCATCCAATGTGACCCCGAGCATCCCCGAGCTATATCCCTGCTCAAAAATATGGGTGCTCTCATTCAGTTTGCATGGCTTATACACAGAAACAATCCTAACCACCCCACTCGTGAATGTCTCTCACCCCTCTTCAAATCCATCTACGCAAGCAGCTACTAGCACATCTCGTGGCCAGCAATTATCTGAAAAGATGTTGCGTCAAGAACCATTTTCTCTCTCCCTCCCGCATAATCAACCAAATTCAGAGAAGAATGGCAAACTCATCATCTCTCTCTTCAGTTGATCCTCGGTTGTTGAACTATCAAATTCCCTCTTCAACATCCTTCCCGCATCAACTCCAAAGCAGCAAATGCTTTAAGCTCCTCGTCAGGGGAAGGGAAATGCTCTCTCCCTCCTTGTTACCCTTCTCCACCTCTGACAACATTCCTTCTAAAAGCAGAATATGCTCAATGAGGTCCCGGCCACAGGGTAATTTAGGTGATGGCGCAACCATACATTAAGAGCCTTTCTTAGTGAAAAAAACAAAACAAAAAAAGGCATTTAATAAGATTTTTCTGCTTTTATAATTTAAATAACTTAAAGACTTGAAAAGAAGAAAAACCTGACAAATGTGAGACGGAGTTGGACTGCAGTCTCAAAGTGGAAAAGGTGGGAGAGGAAAAAAGAGGAGGAACTGAGAATGTATTGTGGAACCCCGATGCCCACGACCCGCCCCGTGTGCCAGACTCCCCGCTACCCCGCTCCTTGGCCCCTAAAGCCGCCGGAGGGCTCGTTTCTTGTCAGTCTTCTTCTTGGAGGCCAGTTTCTTGTCCCTGTCGCCTGCGTGTTTCTTGGCCATGGGGCCCTCCCCAGAGGCACCAGCCGAGGAGGAGCAAGGCTCAGCGGGGTCCTTGGTGCGCAGTCCAGATGAAGGCTGGGCATGGATCTCTGTCAGGAGGCGGGCCCGGGAGGCATATTCCTCATAGTTCTCCAGCAGGAGGCGACCTGCTTCCTCGTTCAGTGCCGATTCCGGATTGGGATGGATGAGCAAACACTTGATGGTCTAAGAACAAAAATGAGATGAACAGTTAAAATGGAGGGGAGAGAACATTAGCCGCAACAGGAAAACAACCCTGACCTCTCCCAGTGGAACAAAAAGTCAGTGGGTGGCTACATCTATGTCTTTACAAGAATCATAAAGTTGGAAGAGACCTCGAGGGCCATCCAGTCCAATCCCCTGCCAAGAAGCAGGAAAATCACATTCAAAGCATCCCTGACAGGTGAGGGCTGTATGCTAGTTCCTAGGATTCCTTTAATAAGGTCCTTGGGATATTTAATAAAAAAAGAAAGGGGACATATCTTTCCAAAAAAAGAGAGAAAGGAATCAAAAGTTTCAGCATGCAAAGACTTAATATGTTTTAATGTGTGTATTTCAAAGAACCTTTTTAGATGAATGTGTATTTTAGCAATGTTGTAACCCACCTCAAGCCGTGAGGAGAGGTGAGAAAGAAATAAAAATTATTATTAGTATTATTAATATCATATTTAGATTAAATACTGGGACTAGTCGTACATATTAACAGACCTGTTGTTTATTATTTATTTATTTACTATATTTATATACTGCCTTTCTCACTCCTGGGGGGAATCAAGGCAATTTACAACATACTAATGGCAAAGATTCAATACCAACATATAGTACACAAAGAAATAACAACTAATTACTACATATAACTATGAACGTAAAATCAATTAAAATTCGAATGTGTCTCCCCCTATGAACTATCTCAGAGATTAAAATTGTCTGGAGAGGCCCTGCTCTCCGTCCTGCCTCCTTCGCAGGCTCAATTGGTGGGAATGAGACGCAGTCTTCTCAGTGGTGGTTCCTTGGCTGTGGAACTCCCTCCCTAGAGATATTAGATCAGCCCCTTCTCTCCTGACCTTCAGAAAGAGAGTGAAAACATGGCTTTGGGATCAAGCCTTTGGAGAATACAATGCAAATGATAGATTTGGAATTATGAGCAATGACTACAGGAATAGCTTGGATTAGGATTGCAGATAGTATGGTTTATAACAGTAATTGTAATGTTTTTAAAGCTTTTAATGTATTTTAACCTTGATTTTAATTTTTAATTTAATTGTAGATTGTTTTTAAGGCATTGAATTATTGCCTATGTTGTAAGCCACCTTGAGTCCCTGTCGGGGTCGAGAAAGATGGGACATAAATATAGTAAAATAAATAAAACCTGTAAACATAAGACATGCATAAAATTTAAACATTCAGACAAAGCATAAAATCATTCCAGTATAAATATTAAAATCTCATAACCTCAGATTACAGAAATGTAGGAAGGCTGTATCCATATAAAAGAGTCTATATGCCAAAATCACACTGATAACATCCCCCCCACCCAGAGAAAAAGAAAATCTTGGTGTCTTGGTTTTTAGACCTGCTTCTGTGGTTATTTGGGGTGCTGATTTAGAAGATTATATTAGAAAGACTGCATTACCTCTAGTTTCTTGGATATGGTTAGCATGGTATTCTGTGGGGGAGCAGATGGCAACTGGTATGTTCTGCATCTCAAAAACTAAAGCCAAGAGGGGAAATCATGTGCCATTTTTGGAATCAGCAAGTCAAATATAACCAGATGTAGGTCTAATATTTCAGGTACCAAAATAATAATAGGATAATAATAAGCTTGGTGAGCAGGCAAAAGTGGAGGAAGTCACCTTCCTACCAGGAGGATTTCATAATGTGGGTGCTTTTCAAATAAGCAACCCTAAACATGATATATGTACTCTGAGATTCTGCTTAGTTAAAACCGCCACTCACCAGCAGGACATGCCGGATGCCCAGTTCTGCTTTCCAATCCTTCTTGAGGACATTGACACAGATCTCGCCATTGGCGCCCACGTTGGGGTGGAAGATTTTGGTCAGAAAATAGCCCTTTGGGGGGCTAGCTGGGAAGTCTTTGCCGAGAATCAACTTCATGCGAAAGAGGCCACCGGAGTATGGAGTACCCTCTGTGACAAGAAGGGGAAGAATTATTGCTAGTACGATCATTTTCCTCCCTGAACATCTCCCAACCTAGACAAGCGACAGACTGTAAGAAACACCACGACACCTTGGGCAGCAATTGCACCCATTACCACACAAGCAATTTTTTTTTGGGGGGGGGGGGGGGAGGAGCTTAGTATTTTGCACAAGTGAAACAACTAGGTCAAGTAATCCTTGCACAAGTCAATAAAAACATCTTGAAGCTACTAGAGAACATTAGAAAGCTTCTTTGAAAATTTAACCACAGATGTGTACTTTTACAAGTGGTCAAATCTATAAATCTATGCTGTTTAAACATGGTGGGGACAGCTTGTGTGGCAATTGATCTACTCTCACCCTTTCTTTATGTTTTGATTTTCAAACATGCTCAACAAAATATTGTGGAGGTAGTTACTGATTCTCCTGCTTGCAGTAGGCAGGAACAAATAGCTACAATACACCGAAATAGATTCCTGTTCTTTCTCCCTTCAAGATTTATTGCCTTGCTTACTGCGGACACTGACATGCTGCATTCATTTACTTTCCTTCTAATGCTAATACTACTAAAGAATTGCCAGCTAGACAGAAGTAAGAAAGAAACAATGTTGGGCAGTTGTAAAACAGTGTTTTGTTAACCAAGGCATACCTATAATGCCATCGTTTTTTGTTTTCACACTAACCCCACATTCAGAACTGCTCCTCCTAAGCTACATACTGGTTATTAGAGGCGCAACGCTTCTGGCATGCATGACATGTGTTCCCTTTCCCCTTCTCACCTGGTCCTTCAATTGTGACTTGGACATCTGTGATGTCCTCCTCGTTGGGGAAGACCTTGATGCCCTCAGGCGGGTCTGAGGTGAGTGTTGAGACTTCTTTGTAAACCAGCCGGATCACATGGGGAGGCAAGTTTTCTACATTGGAATTCTGGAGGAAGGGAGGAAGGAGGAGACGGTGACACTAAGCTGAAACAACATCTGCCTACAGCTACCAAGAATCTATGATAGCTTTTTCTGAAGGGAAAGTCTGAGAAAGACTTTACACACAATATTTATTAGCAAAAAGCATGGAATTATTCTGGATCCATATTTACTTCAGGGAGAGAATGAAAGCGAGAATGCAGGCAGAAAAGAGTAGCATATGTAGTACTAGTCTCAATTTCAAAGTCCCTCCTCAAATGACCTGATCCTGTTGTGCAAAAAGGAAATGGGATAAGAGAACAGACAGTGCAGAACGCCGGCAGGGAAGAGGATGGGCCGATCTTGGCCCCATACCAGCAACTCTCAACAGATTGCCCTTGAAGAAATGTCCTTGAGAGAAAAAAGGTCCATGACCTCTAGCACAGAAGGTGCTGTTCTGCTTTAAATGAGACCCTGTCTTGGAACATGTACAACCGCTCAGGCTGGATCTTTCCACCAACTCCCTAATTCGAGTCCCATTTCCTAGTCTTGATCCAGCCAAGTTAGCACCTCCTTAATCAGCTACTCATTTCCCAAAATAAATCACAAGGAACACTGCTCGCTGCAGGTTTTCCACTTGAACTAAGAAGCTGGAGCAATCACAGCATACCGTATTCCCTCTACAAGGCAGTGTGATGTGCTTATTCCGGCAACAATCCAGCAGGTCTGCCTCCTGTGTAAGTATATTTGCAAATACTGTTGTTCCAATTGTGTGTTTCAAGCAACACAAGTAGGACAAGCACTTCCTTCTAGTCTGGCAATTTTTAAAAAATATCTTTTTTGGCCCAATTAACAAATTACACAACTTACCCTGATCCAGCACCTGATACCCAAAACCAAGCATTTAAACATTAATGTTCTATTCAAAGACTAGCTGTCACTTCTGCATTTTTACAATGCTTCAAATTCAGGCAACGCTGTTTCTCTCCTATTGGACCAAGCCCATCTAAGATTTCCAGCAAAACATGCTCCTCAAAAGGAAACTGTACATCTTAAAGGAGGCTTCTAGAAAGCAAGTGACCTATCCACCCATAGCAATCAGGAAACCAGAACTAGCAAGAACTCACATTACTAAACACAATAAATCTATGTGGTATTTACTATGTGTTCTAGTAAATTGTACATAGCCTTTTTTAGAAAACAGAAACAAATACAAGAGTAACACAAGAGGGTTTTAACACAATTCCAAATAGCTAAATTAGACTAAAACAGACAGCCAAACTGTGCCTTCCCAATTTTGGGGGGCATCGTTCCTGATCACCAATTGCATTTATAGTTCCAAGTTGATTTTAAACATTTCATGTGAAGGTGTAGATGTCCTTAGAAAAATAAATATTTCAATGCCATTCCACATCCCTCGGGTTGCACATCCTGAAAGTTTTGCACTAATTCTAAACTGGCTCAGAGTGGAACTTATAGTGATGCGGGAAAGATGGGCCTGAACCATATCCAATTTTCACCATTCAGAAACACTAATTTGGAGGGACAGCAGGGCAGTAGTATGGTGTATTGACTATGACCACAAAAACCTAGAAGATTCAAATCTCCTCTCGACCACACAAACCCCACAAAAACTTTGGCAAGATGGATATGAAGATGACATGTAAAAAGGGAAGGAGTGAGCATTATTATAGCGCCTTGAGATCCTTGGAGAAAAAGAAGCATATACAAGTGTAACAATACATACGCAAAATAAGCACATTTCCCTACTAGGCCTCTGAATTCACTGCTTCAAAAAGCAATTCAGGAAGAGCTGGGTATACAGAAAAAAAAACTTTTGCTCTAATTATAGGTGAGAAATCCATCTTGTTTTGCAGAAACTACAAGGTACTCTCTTTCCCTCCCCCCTGCACCCCACACCTCTAGAAGCAAACAGAGATATACAAACAATAAAGTCGTAGCTTAAATATTTTTTTCTCTGCAGCTTTTCAGACCATTGCTTATTGTATCACTGTTCTGTTTCGCTAAATATGAGACTGGGAGCAGGCCTCATGCTTACATACTTGTTTTCACTCTTATCTCATGAACGAAACTGAGACATCCCAAGTTTATTTGACCCCCTAAGATTGAATGCTATTTGAAAAGGGATCAGGACACATTTGCCTTTCAAACAAACACATTCTTTTGGTACAGTTGCTGACTTTAGTTGCACTTCAGCTAAAGAGGCCTGCTCCCAAACCCCTCCTGCATCTCCCATTCGGAGAAGGAAACATCTAAAAGCCTAACTCAATCTAACCTATTTACTAGTCTTCTGACACCTGTCAGATGTAGATACTCCACACTCCGAGAAGGAATTCAATGATCTGCATCGCCACTTAGCACCGAGACACAAGCAGCACAACTGTGACAGCAGGAAACCTTCCGTACTTTGGCCGAGCCTAGCTACAAAAAGCTTTGGGAAAGCAGCATATCCCTTTTCTTTTCCCCTTGATACAAACTAAGATAGGCATTTACCACTTAGGCCATATTTTCCTCAAAACCACGATGCCCAATAAATATCCCAGATGAGATATTTCCAGCCTCCACTTCCAATCTGCTCACATAGATTATAAAGCATGCTTCTGATATACTGGGAGCTTTGTTGTATTACTGCTTACAATTTTTTCATTGCAATGTAATTGGGAAAAACTATCAGCTTTAAAAAGTAGCAGGAAAACATCTCCTACACTTTGATTTTTTTCTTGCCCACACAAGGCTATAAGAGGACCGGAACAGTTGTTCATTTCTAATTTAAAAACAGTGTAGTGCCCTAACTCTCAGAATGCTTAAACTGAGGAGTGGGTTCCCTTTTCAGCAAACCCTTGTTGGAACAGGATATGTTAGTGACATCACTTCTATAGGGCACAGAGGGTTTTATAAACGTCTTGGAAGTGCATCCAGAAAATGTCCTACCAGGCAGGGAGTGGGGACACATCAGCCCATTTGGCCATGATATCATTAAACAGCAGAGATCACTCCAGTAGGCCTCACTCTAAAAATACGTGTCTTTTAAAAGGACTCCTCACAAAAGTATTTTAGAACTCTAAACAAGATATAGCATTCCTTCCTTCCCCTATTCTTGGAATTCTGGTGTATTGTAGTGCTTTAAGTGTTGGACTGCAACTCTGGAAAACAGGTTTTGAATCTTTACTCTGCAATGAAAGCCCACTGGATCACTCAGTCTCAGAAATCCCTGCTATAGGTTGGCTTTAGGGTTGTCATAAGGATGAAAATTTTAGATAATACGTAGGAGAAATGTGCACAGATTTCTATGTTATTGGTTCTTGCCGTCTGTCCTGTTTAGTATCAAAAATGTTTATAAGATAATATAGATTTATAAACCTTAAGCTAGTACTCTTTGGAAACAGGGGAAACTCATGATCTTCACAACACTCCAAATATCCAAATACAAAGAGAGTTTAAATGATTGTGATACTGCCTCTTGCAATATTAAATATACCAATACAGGTAGTACATAAATATGCAAGATTCTGCTTTGACAAAAAAAAAACTATCCAAAGAGAATTATTAAAGCCTCTGAAATCCTGACACTAAGAAAACAGAAAGCTAACCAAATATAAAATTAACCAGTCCAGACCGCATCTTGCAATGCAGCCCCCGAAGTATAAAGTATTTCTTCACAAGCAAGCTCTATGGAATTCAGAAAGACTTATTCCCAGGTGCATATTGAACTGGAGACTTAAGACTTTATAACCAAGTGTATGTTTCTCTATATAAGCCTTCAGAAACTATATTGCAAATGAAAACCTTTTTTGTTTGAAGAGTATAGGACAGTGGTTCTCAACCTGTGGGTCCTCAGGTCTTTTGGCCTACAACTCCCAGAAATCCCAGCTAGTTTACCAGATTTTAGAGAGTTGAAGGCCAAACCATCTGGGGACTCACAGGTTGAAAACAACTAGTATAGGACAAAAGTAGAAAGAGGCCTAATGGAAACATCATGTAATTAAGAAGCCAAAAATGTGTGATGTGAGAGTATACAGTAGAAATATTTAGCAAAAATAGGTGAACACACACTACTTTTACATTCACAAATGCAGCTATCATAAAGCACACATTTTCCACAGATTTTATGTCATTCTTTTTACTTACCCATGCACCAAAAAAATACCACCACCTTCAGAAGAGTCCTTCAGTGAAATTCTATGGTATGCTTCCAGTCCAAGTAAATCAAAATATATGGTTTGCTATTATCCACCATTTCACATATAATGGCGGATGTCTTGAAATGTAACCCCTTGGAGGAGGGGGGGAGGTTGTTGTAATGTATGTTTAAACAGATATAAAACTATTTAAATCGTCTATGAGAGAACTGCATTCCTGAAAAGTTCTGATGGTCACTACTCTTTACCCAGGATGAGACCACTTCCCTTAAAATAAACTTTTTAGGTGTTTTTTAAAAAGTCTCTCCCTAGTTTCAGTGTGGAAAAGCATCCACCTGATCGTGGAAGATAAGCACAGTCGGCCTCGGTTAACACTTAGATAAGAGCTCACCAATGATACCAGGTGCTGTAGGCTATATTTTAGAGGAAGGAACTGACAAAACACTTCTGAGTATTCCTTGAATGAGGGCCCTTCCACACAGCCACATAACCCAGAATATCAAGGAGGAAAACTCCACAATATCTGCTTTGAACTGGAATATATGGCAGTGTGGACTCAGATAACACAGTTCAATGCAGGTATTGTGAGATTTTCTGCCTCGATATTCTGGGTTATATGGATGTGGAAGAGCCCTAAGAAAGCCCTACAAAAATGCATGGGGTTGACAGGCAATTTGAAGGCACACACACCCCAAAATCTAAAACCCATAAAGTAGTGTTTCCTTTATTGGGCCAACTCCAAAGCATAATATACACACCATGTATACTTTTGAAGGTTCACTGGCTTAATCAGGTAAAAATGCAAAAAATCATATGGGACAAGAAATGTAGAAAGGTTAAAACCCACAAAATGTAACATTCTGCAACACTGTCTAATCTCTCACGCAGGCATGGCCAAACTTCAACCCTCCAGGTTTTTTGGACCCACAATTCCCAACAGCTTCAGGCTCCTTCCTTGTCCCTCAGAAGAGGCTTGTGGAATTGTGGGAGTTGAAGTCCAAAACACCTGGAGGGCCCAAGTTGGCCCAGGCCTGGTCTAACCTCTAACACAGTGGTTCTCAACCTGTGGGTCCCCAGGTGTTTGGCCTACAACTCTCAGAAATCCCAACCAGTTTACTAGCTGTTACGATTTCTGTGAATTGAAGGTCAAAACATCTGGGGACCCACAGATTAAGAACCGCTGCTCTAATGCCATCACCTTTATTCCTGTGTATGAAGAAACTAGTGAAGTTTGAAAGCTTGCATGAAGTACTGTATATGATTGCTTTGGATTTGGCCCAACAAAGGTGGATCTTGGATTTTTCTTCTATTTTGCTGCAAGGCCAACACAGCTACTCCTGAACACATAAACAAAAGTTTCAATAAAGCATTTTACAACAAAAAATACATTGAGAAGGCACACCATGTGCCATACTCTGAAGTGGAGAAGAAAAGAAGACTGCTAACAAAGTTTTCACAGAGAATAGCACACGCAAACGGAAGTGAGGAACTTTAAAAGTTGTCTCAAGTTTGATATCCTCCCAAAGAAAATCTTGATTTTTATTAAATTCCATACAAGACTCCAAGTCGGAAGCAAATTATTGGAAACAACAGAGGCCTTATCATATCTCCATGTGTGCTACTTTCCACAGTTTTCCCTACTCTCCAGATTGAGGTCCATTTAAATCTCCTCCATGTTTAAATACTTCTCCAGGGTAATAAGGAAAGTTTTGCATCACATTTCAAGAATCAGACCCTTTTGACATCTTTGAGTGCTACATTTTCCCCTTACTTGCCTTAAAGGCACATTATCCCTTATATCAGTGGTTCTCAACCTGTGGGTCCCCAGATGTTTTGGCCTTCAACTTCCACAAAACCTAACAGCTGGTAAACCAGCTGGGATTTCTAAGAGTTGTAGGCCAAAACACCTGGGGACCCACAGGTTGAGAACCACTGCCTTATATAGTATCATCAGACCCAGTTACCTACAAGTCTTATGATGCTTCTACATTGTTGAATCAATGCTGTTTAACTGCCACAGAACAAGAATGGAGAAACTTGGGCCCTCCAGGTGTTTTGGACTTCAACTCCCACCATTCCTAACAGCCTCAGGCCCTTTCCTTTTCCCCCTCAGCCACTTAAACGGCTGAGGGGGAAAGGAAGGGGCCTGAGGCTGTTAGGAATGGTGGGAGTTGAAGTCCAAAACACCTGGAGGGCCCAAGTTTGCCCATGACTCTTATAGACTCATGGGAGTTGCAGTTTTTTCAAGTTCTTTAGCCTTCTCTGCCAATGCATGCCGGTGCCTCACCAAATCACCCAATGCAATGAAACCATGGCACTGATCCATGGCAGTTAAAGTGGTGCTAAACCGCACTAATTCTTCAATGTAGATGCACCCTTGGTATCCTACCTTCCACAGGTAGTCTTGCGTTCTCAATACGAGACTTCAATGAACTTTAGCCAACCGACACAGGAATACTAACATACACCTGCAACCCCCAAAACTGGAAACTAAACTAATCCTAAAGGCAAGCTCCAGATTTTCCCACAATTTACTTGAATGTATTGTCGAAGGCTTTCATGGCCGGAATCACTGGGTTGTTGTTCGTTTTTTCGGGCTATATGGCCATGTTCTAGAGCAGTGGTTCCCAACCTGGGGTCCCCAGATGTTTTTGGCCTTCAACTCCAGAAATCCTAACAGCTGGTAAACTGGCTGGGATTTCTGGGAGTTGTAGGCCAAAACACCTGGGGACCCACAGGTTGAGAACCACTGTTCTAGAGGCATTCTCTCCTAGAATGCCTCTAGAACAGTGGTTCTCAACCTGGAGTCCCCAGGTGCTTTTTGGCCTTCAACTCGCAGAAATCCTAACAGATAGTGAACT